TTTCTTTATGAAATCAACAGATTTATGAGTGAACTGAGCCTGCTGATCCAGTGAAGCATGAAATAAAGCCTGAGGGGCTAAGTGGTTGCATCTAAGATATTTATTCTGTAAATGTGTACCTTCAGGCCCTAGAACACCTGCCAAAGTTTGACACAGTGTTACCAACTTATTGTGGCTAGTGCCAGAGCTGCATTGGAACAAGGTCGTAGATCGAGCGGTGGGCGTTGGAGTTCAGGCCCTTAATGGGAGGATCAGTCTTGTCGTTTCTGATTTTCTGCTTCTAATCATTTTCAAAGATTTATTTAGTCACCTATCATGTTCTCCCTTTGCTTCTCTCTTTCTTTTGCATCCTCCACTCAGAGTCTCCCGTGTTGCACGTCATCATCTGTCATATTCGAGGCCTGTGCAGTTGGTGATTCATATGCAGAGCGTCACCACCAGCACACTTTGATTCCCTCCTACTCTCTTTTGCGCACTTTTATTCTTTTTATCCTTCTGTCTTGCCCTTCCCTCTGTCTTTGTTCTCCTGGCTCCTTCTTAGTCTTATATTTCCAGCACTGTCAGTCTCTTCTCCTCAAAGCCTTTGTCACTGCCCATCCATCTCACGAATACTTCCTCCTTCATGTCACACTGTGCTCATTTGCTTAGGATAGCCAGAGACAGTTTGTGTAAATGTGCCTCTTCGACCTTTCTGCTATGTCCCATTTATATAACATGGGAAAATGTGAAGTGTCTGTCTTGCAGACAGGCAGCTAATCAACCTGCAGCACAGTCTGCTCGGCATTTCTAATCTCTAATCAATTTTTTTTTTACCCAGCGACACATTTTCTGTGTTGCTATGCCTGCTTTGTTTTCTTGCAGGCTGCCACACGGAGAAGAGCATCCAAGGTCAAATCACAGTGCCCTCACACACAAATAGCCTGGCCGTATTTTTATTTCTTTTGGCACAGTGATGGCGTGTCAGCAAAAGTGTACAGGGATAGATGGCTTTGCCTTGAGGGTAAGAGAGGGAGAAAAGAGGTACGGACATAGAGGGGTACTCCCTTCTGGGACTCATTTGATAGCGTTTTCATTTCGTACTTTTCCACCGCCACCCCCTTCTTTGTGCTCACTGTGCTTCTGTCTATCAGGTGCCATCTGTTTCAGAGTTCAGATGAGGATGTTTGTTGTTGCTGAAACACCTGCTTTACAAACTTAATGAATCTCCTGGCTTGTATAAGGAACAATGAAGCCAATGTCGAGAGGGAATTCAAATTTATTAATTATTATTTTATTTAGCATGGGAAGCTACTTGGCACATATCACATTGTCCTATTTGGCAGTCAGTTTTGCTTTTATCGGATCATGATAGAAACCAGTTACATGAGGTCCTCATTGAACTTAATTCAGTTGTAGGTCTCCTGCTGACTTTTCATGTGACTTTGGAGCTGAATATTCTGGGTGTAGATTCTGGGAAGCAGAGCCTACACCCATACTAGATACAACTCTGGGAAGCAGAGCCTACACCCATACTAGATACAACTCTGGGAAGCAGAGCCTACACCCATACTAGATACAACTTTGGGATAATCACATGCTAATGTTTAATATGAGCGTGCAAACAGAGCATTCAGCTACAGCACTTATGACAACTATGTAAATAAAAATTTAATAAATTAGTCCACAACTCTTTTAAACATATTTCTTTAATTTTAAAATGTAAAGTGGCAACATATTTAATGTTGCATTTGTGATTTTTAAATATATTGTGATAATAACAATGCTATTGACCCATTACAGGGTTCTGTATACACAGCAGGAAAGAGTGGATCAAGAAGACGTTAGAATGTCAAATACTGATTGGTTAATAGTGAAAATCAAGATGTGGGTTTTGAACAGCACAAAGAAATACTTTGTGTTGGTCATACATAGTCATGGGGGAAAAAATATATAGACCTTTATTAGAGCAGCCGGGTGCTGATAATCATTCCACTTGCTTGATTATTAGTGTGACCATAAGAGCAGAAGATTTGGCAGTTTGCTTGTTCTCCCTTAAAACAACAAAGCTACATCTGAACAAACCACGAGACGTGGAACAATGTCGTTCGGAGAGATAAAACCAAAGTGGAGATGTCCAGCCGAAAACCAAACCACGGCACAAACACCTCATATTGACTGTAAAGCATGATGGTGGAGGTGTGATGATTTGGGTGGTTTTGCAGCTGCAGGACTTGAGCTTCTTACAGTCTGCAATGCAATAATAAGTATTGTAGCGTCAGATATGAGGTCGTGTGTCCAATAGTTCAAGCTTGGCCCAGACTGGATCATGCAGCAGAGCAGTGATCCCAAGCAAAGAAGCCATTAGAAGGAATTGAACATTAATTATTGATCTGCAGAACTCAATTATGCTATTTGGTGGTTAGATGCTGATGGCCCATCACAGCAGAATGAAATCCCAGAAGTGATAGGAATTAGAGCAGGACTGTCTAGACCCTGATGGTATTAAGGGATCACATGGAGGCTTTGGTGGAGGTGGGTTGGACAAAAGAGTCTGCAAGGAAGAATGAAAGACAAACAGTGGGATTTAAAGGATGCAGAGTGAAGGCTGATTGGTTTAAAGGAGGCGAGCAGAAAGATGATTGGGCTACAATCGGCCGTGAGTCCTGCAGCGTGAATAGACTAGCAGCTAAATACCTGGAAAGCAGACAGTTTTTATTATTCTGCGTAAGAAAGGTGCCAATGAATGAAATGCACTCTAGGCATTATTGTTGAATGTCATTATTTTGCATCCTAGCTTACAAAGGTAAGCTAGGAAGGTACATAAGGCTAAATCGAGGTTAACATTTTCATCAAAGTTTGTTTTGTAACGCTTAAGGATTAAATTAATTTCAAACTCAATCACAAAACATTGTTTCCTTCACTAAGTCTGACCTCTTGTTGACTCACTCTTGATCCTGCTGTGCATATAGACCCTTATAAATAAATCTCATTTAATGTAAAGCTTGAGTGTTGTGTGCTTCCCTTTATGCAGAGGTCCCTGTGTCAGCCAAGAAATAAAAAATGAGGCAATATTTTGCAACACAAAGTATTATCACCACTGCATGAATGCACCATAAATGTACCAAATTCCATTGCAGTCAATCCAAGAGTTGTTGAGACATGTGGGGCTGCATTTCTTGCCGACATCATAGTAATGCTGCAGATGCTCGTTATTTTTTCTCCTTATGTTTGAGCAGTGAAATACAGGGCAGACATGAAAGGATGAATGACTAAATAAAAGTCTCAAAAATGAGCCGTATTTAATTCAATCCGCAAGCAAGTGTAAATAAGAGCAAATGAACTCGACAGCCAATCACTTACCTCTTTTCTGCCCCGCTGTCTCTGATGTTCATCGTTTTCATTTCTTTCATCTTCCTATTCTCGCACACGGTTCTTCGTCGCCCTTACACTTCCCAGCCCACGTCTATTTTTTTTTACACCATAGCCATTTTCGTTCTCTCCACCCTCCCTCACTCATTGTCTCTCCTCTTGTTTCGACTGTGGGCATCCTCTCATAACAGCCACTGTAATAGTTCGGATGTCAAAGAAGCAAACCAGGCCGGCTTTTCTCCTGTAAGTTTCACCATGATTGTCTTTGATCAGTTTGTTAGTAGATTAGTGATGATAGTGGCATCTTTTGTCACTGTGGGGAGCCATTGAGCCATTGAGCCAGGACAGACCAGACAAGATAGCATCCAGAGAGGTTTAGTCTCCACCAGCTACTGGAGTACATGCTAAATGTTCAACTAAACTTGGCACAAAAGTTTGGTCAATGGTTTCTTTGTTTTAACAACACTTCTTGGCAATAAATGTTATACGGTTGGAAGACCTGTTTATTTCCCCTTGAATGGTGCCACATAAGGAAAATGCATTTGTGGGTTGAGCAGCAGGGTTGAGTATGTTGGCTGCGCCCATGAACAACTTACCAAATTAGATATATGCACCCTCAAGGGCTTCATGAGGGTAACTGTCCACTGAGGTGGGCCCCCGAGAATTGCATTCCCTATGGGACTTTGTTTCATTTCACACTGCAAGTGAGTATGCTAATGCCAGCATATTAGCTAGCTGGCAGTATGTACAGCAGCAGCTATGTACAGCTATGTAAGTGAGATAACACCGGGTTCAGAGTTCTGTACTTTTTGTGTGCGGTTTCAGCAAAACAATTTAACTGGAAATGGACGTGTGGCTAATGGCACTGACTTTGTGCTCTTTTATAATAACATCTCACTATTTTCTCTACATTGCTAAATATACAATGTTATATACGGTAACAGTGTGCTGGGTTTTTGTTGTTTGTCTGAAGTTGGACTGATGGCAGCTTATAGTTGAAATGTTTTTGTCCATTGTTAGTAGACACTGTGAAGTATATTATAAAAAGAGCACCTGTACTGTCTTTTATACAAGGATACAAGGACTTACTAACCTTTGACAGATGCTTCCTAGGGGTACACTACAGCTCCTGCTGCTGCTCCTGATAACCTCCAAAAACCTGACTTACAGATAATTTGTGCTGATATTACCATCATCCATAATTGGTCAGATATTCTTTGGTTGCTGTGGTCTTTTATTGTTTTATAATCTTTGTTCATCTTCATCTATCCCACGTAGTTCACAGAAAATGCTGCCATTTGTTTTTTTCCTTTGATAAGTCAAAATAAACCCTTAATAAAGCCTGGACTTTACTAGAAAACCTCTAGATCTTTAGAGCTATTTTTTGCATAAAATGTAACATCGTCCAGAGTGCTTTCAAAATGTCCTTGCTAATTTCTTTTGTATATATGGTGGTTGCCGGTGTTGCACCAATATCTTTGCTTATGCCATGATAGTACATCACTCAAAGGTTCCTTTTGTCCTAAGGAGTATTTGCCCTGATGTAGAATGGTCCTGAGAACTGTGATGGTTACCAACTTGAACTTTTATCTGGGACCAGCTAAAATCTACAGTTTAGTGAGTACGTTTTGGTTTTCATTTTGTCTCTGCAGGTATACTTATACCCTGTGCCCATTCAATCAAGTTACACAAAAGAGCACGGCAGGAGTAGAGGTCTCATTAGGGTAAGTACCTCAATCACTGTTTCTTTTGTGCACACAGTTAAAATCCCAATCACTGACCAGCCGGGGTATGTCTGGGATCAGGTGGGGAAAAAATTAAAGACAGTTTATAGAACGACATCTTTCCAAAGCGCTTAGCAGTACTCTGAGTACTGTGGCCTGAGATTCTATAGCAGAGCATAGTCAATATTTTAATATGAAGCCACAAAGCACTTCTAGTACAATTCACATACATTTTCCCTCCCCTGGGCTTTCATCATGCACTAAAAGCCAAGAAGGGCATTTTGTCTTATTTATACCAATTAGATAAATTCAGTGACAGCATTGTTCATTTCACGATTCGACCTGAAACAAATCCCACCCCTGCACTCCCCAGAAAGCTCTTTAATCATTGTTACAGTGCTCATATGAAGTTACCCTTAGACCAATATTTGCACTATTGATTCTTTTTTATTGTTATTCAATCTCTGTTAGCTTCGTATGACCTTTAATCAGTCACTAACAGATCTTTATTATATTTTTAATACTTTTTGATCAATGACAAAACGGAGCAGCTTTCATAGACTGGTGGGGTTATATTTCCTCAGCCTCCAAGGGTTTCAATTTCATCAAAAGGTTTACATTCTGTTCTTTTACCTTACCCTTGGGGAATGTCTTTGTCAACTGTTGGACACAGGTGTGCATCAAGAAGGCCGTGTGCTATGAAAGAAGCCACTCAAGTCCCCACTGAAATGCACCTTTAATTGTCATAAACGTTTTTATTTTGATTCTTTGGAGATCTATCTGCTGTTAAGCAGTATATACCAGTGAAATATCTACTGCTTGATTGTATTTTTATCTTGCGTGTGACTTTAAACGCTGGCTGTTATTCAGTCATTAGTTTCGCTTCGGCGACCACATCACCTCACCTTTCTCTTCACCGTAACATCTCTGTCAAAAACAAGAAGAAAAAAGAAAGCATACATCAAACGGATGGTTTTTTCCTGTTTATTTACTTACTTTTTCTTCTCTTATGAATTTTTGATTTGAGGTGATAATTATGGGATGTCGCCTCACTGTCCTTTTCCACTCTCTCATTAGCCTTGGCTGTCCGTCACCCGACACTTTTATAGGCTGCAATTATGGAAAACCTATTCCATCCACACTGACACCTATGCAAAAAGCTTTTATGATCCACGTCAGCTCCTCCCCTAAGAGGAAGACCGAGTTGCGCTGGTGTTTTTTTCCACTCAGCGACCACACAGACTAACAACTTGTTTTGCGGACGGATAATAAAAAGGTCTAAAATGGCCGTGGAAAATTTGCGACACAGAGTCAAAACATTTTGTCTGCTTTGAGATGCGATGCCATTAGGGCCCAACTTGAAGTAAGACTCGAGATAATTTAACTGCAATTATTCTTCCGTGCAGATACAGTGGGGTTTTTTTCCCCTTTCAGGTGGAAAATTAATTGGAATCTAAAGCAGAGCTGTTTTCTTCTTCTTCTTTTCTTTTTTTCCACCATCAACTCCCACACTATGCTCACTTTTGGAGCGTAAAGTGCAATGCTTCACCATGTTTTTAGCGCAGGAAAGAGGAAGAACAGAATGCTAACTGTGAGTAATGTGACCCCAGCGCTTCTGCCTGCCTGTCACTCATCATGGTATGGAAGGGCAGAAGGACTAAACGAAATCAATGGTCAAACACGCCAAAATCTCTGCCAAACAGGACTCGAGGGACAGATTTCAAATGTATATTTATTTATTTTTTCCCCACATTCCAGCGTTTTTTCACACTGATGACTAAGACTAAACACAATGTTGGATTTTTCCATAGAAGTCAGAGAAAAATAATAATGCTAGCTTAATATAAGTTGTTATCACATGTACCTCATTGGTATTTTCTGGGTGTAGGCGGGCTGTGCGGCTCTATATGATGTACTATACTGTTTCCAGAGTGCGTGTAGTGAAGGTGGACTGCTTTCAGCTGAGGCAAGGGGGAGGGGAGGCACATGAATCATAGCTCGCATGGTGGGTATAAAGTTCATTTTTTTATCCAGACAGACCATCAGTCAGGCCTTGCAGGATGTGGCCGGGCCTCCTGATATCAATCTGCATGGAGGCCTCCTCTTTCTCCCCAGAGGGGGTGAGGAGGGAGAGGGGAGTGCTTTGATTTAAACGGCAGCATTTATCACACCTGCTCCAGCATCCTAAAGGACAACCATGTGAGACAGAGAAGAGGTGGCGGTGGTGTCAGAGAAACAGCATTACCATGCGCGGCCTCCCACTGGAAGCGTGGCTGCCCTGGCGATGACATTGCTAATACTCGCTCGTACGATTTTTTGACTAATTTGGATTAGTCGTGTTACGTTTCCGCGGCATTAAATTGATGGCGCCGCTGCCGAATTTCGATTACGGCTCACGGCCTGCACAGTTTGCGAAGTGTGTCACGGCTCATAAAAGTTGAAATTGTACCCTGAGCCTTAACCTTCCTTCATGCTTGGTTTTGCAGCATAGCTTGGCGTTAGACCATTAACTACACAAATGTTTGCGAGGAACAATAAATCAACCTGGCAACGCTTTCTTTTGCAGCTGCTCGCTCTTATATTGTGGCCACACACTGCCAAAGATTTCATAAGGCACAGCAGTCACTCTGTGCTTCCAATTATCTGTAAACGCAGATATTATACAACACATATTCACCTCTTGAATTCCAATATCTCTGTTTTCCATTTAGCTTTCCTGCCTTTCGGCCTCGGCGTCACAAGCGCTTCCTGAAATGGCTATTGTAACACTAACATCAGCCATGATAATGATAATAGAATAGGAGAAAATGCTTGCATTGCTACAAACACTATCCCAACGTGACAGCGTCGTCCATCTTCATAATGTCCCCGCAGTACCCACCCCCGCCCTCCTCCTCAAAGGGCAGACATGCTAGGTACATTGACAAGACAGCAAATGCAGAGCTGCTAAATGCTTCTGGAAAAGTCCAAACAGAGACGCACGCGGGCAGATCTCTTGCTACCTCTGTGCTTATGTGAGGTATTGCAAGCACTGCCGTTACAATTTGTTTGATGGAGAAACACCACATGCAGAGAATTAATACTGTGTTAACAAACAGAACATTGATCATATTGTCACCAGCATGTCACATTAATTTCCAAAAAGCCAATGTGGTATTGAGATCACTCCTTACAACGTGGGAGGAAATTTGGACCGTTCTTCCTTAGAGAACTGCTTCAGTTTAGCCATATTCTTAGTGTGTCTGGTGTGAATGGCTGGATGTCTGGGCTCTGACTGGACCGCTCCAAAACACAGATTTTCTTTGTTGAAAATAATTGTGTGCTAGAGTTGCTTTAATGTTTAAGGTTATTGTCCTGCTGTGTCATCCAGTTAGTGCTGACCCAAGGCCCCAGTCGCACGGGTCACGGGGGAAAATTGTGTATTCCCAACCAGTTGGCGAGTAGTTGCTGGGTAGTGAAATCGATTGCAAAGCGGGTTCTGCACCAAAAATCTCTTAGTGATTGCTGTGGTTACTAGCAGATTACAGAAGTCATCTATACTGAGCACAGAAGATGTGTGCAAGCAGTCTGAGACACTCTCACTCACAGGCTCTGGGCCTGTGTCACTGAGGCCTAAGTAAACCAGGTAGTTTAGTTTTCCCTCAGTGATGAGCTATTTGGTGCCTCAGGTGGTCAAGCAGGTTATCTATCTATTTGAAGGTCGGTGGATTGATCCATGTGTCGAAGTATCCGTGGGCAAGATACCGAACCCTGAGTGGACTGAGTACGTTTATCTGAGTGCGTTTGTTAGATAGCAGATCAAATAATGTGTGTGACGGGGTGAATCAGACTCGTAGTAGAATGTGCTTTGAGCGCTCAAATCAAGTAGAAAGGCGCTAAATAAGTTCATTTACCATTTTTAAGTCAGTCTGCCCCACTGCTCCAGGCGGCTGCCCCTCCCTGGTTCTACCGGAGGTTTCTTCCTGTTAAAAGGGAGTTTTTCCTTCCCACTGTCACCTAGTGCTTCCTTATAAGGGGTCATCTCATTGTTGAGCTTCTGTCTCTCTATGATTACAGTATAAAGTGACACGAGGCGATTTTTGTTGTTATTTGACGATATAAAAATTAAAATGGATTGAACAGAATTGATTGTGTTGGGAAACTAGCAGCTTCTTTTGTTGTTTTCTAATTTCATGCTGCTGATAAAACTGGAATCAGGACCAAAGATTCCTTCAAGCTTTAGCCTTTTACTGCATTAAACATATTTAACTTTTAATAGTTTCCACAAAGTGCTTTGTCAACATTTAAGCAGTTAGCCTAATGTTTAAACCCCCCCCTGTTTTTCTTTATATCCGCAACAGTTACAGAAAACCCATCTCTGGAAGGTATGCCGTCATCACAATGTCAGGCTGTAATAAATCAGAAATTTTTATGAAGGTGCCTTTAAACCACACGGAAACAGATTGAGCTGTAGTGGTACCAACAAACACAAACTAATTTCTTAACATTAAACAATTTGTGCCAAATGCAATAAAAGATTCTAAACAATGTAAAAAAACCACAAATCCTAGTAAAGATTTGAAACGTGTGGCCACACAAAACCAAAAGAGGAAGAAAATGCATTAAGGGAGTGATGGTGTCTTATTAATAAAGATGCGTTTTCCTGCAGACAGAGGAGGATGGGATGATTTAAATGTATCTGCGAAGGAGGACGGGATCAGTCGAGGGGTCATCCAATGAGTTTTTGTTTTGGGACTCCGGGGAAATCAGGTGGCCACGCAGTCAGGGTCATGGGGGCCAGCGTATGTTGCCCCGCAAAGTTCAAGGAGCTGGGCCTTCTATTGTGCCGGGGTCAGACCGCTCTACACTCATCATCATTGAAAGCACACGGGGAGGGAGGGAACAAAAAAGCATTGCAGGGGCCGGCGAGCAGCTTGCTTGCTCACCCTTTGCCCTTGGAAACACGCTGTGTTTGACAGTCCAAGCTTGGAATGCGCCCAACATCCAAAGCTGAAAACAGG